CTAGAATTTGGGTTCCCTCACCAGATGTCCTCTTTACTTGTTCCTTGTTTTTCAAGTCCAACTTTGCCTGCTTCACAAGGGGTGGACTTTCTCGGTGAAAGAAGTGTGGTCTAAGCCTATCCCACCTAAGGTTCAAGCTTTCTGTTGGGAATCTTTCCTTGGAAAGGTTAACGCTTGTGATGTGCTACAGAAAAGAAGGCCTTTTTGTTGCCTCTCTCCTCATATGTGCTTGTTGTGTAGGACAAGTGGAGAAAGCCTACCCCACTTATTAATTTCCTCCTTTGTCTCTCTTATCTGGGAGTTTTCTGTGATTTTTTCGACTTTAGGTGGATATCCCCCCAAGAAGTGGCAGATATTTTCAGACCTAACTTCCTAAGGCAATCAAAAGGAGGAAGATTGATGTGGAGAGTTACTAAGACTGCAATGGTTTGAGTGGTCTAGGAGGAAAGGAACAACAGAATTTTCAATGGCAAAAGTGAAGGTTGCATTCTGGATTAAAAACATGGAGTGCTTTCAAAGTTTCATAGCAACTGATACTCTAAGGACTTGGAAGGAGATAGCACAGTCCTTTAGAAAAAAAGACAGCATAAAAATGGATTGGAAACCCCCACAAGGTAGTAAAGTTAAGCTGAATTTTGATGGAAGCTCTTTGGGCAATCCTGGTATGGCATGTATTGGTGGGACAATTAGAACTTTGGAGGGCAGATTGCTGCTACAAGGTCCTAGGATAGCTAAGCAATTGGCCTCAGAAAAGTGGAGGTGGAAGGGATTCCAAAGTAATCATCTCTTGGGCAAGAAATAACAGACATATTCCATGGAYGCTCAAGAATGCTTTCAAGGAAATAGAAAGGGCTGCAAGAGAGCTGAATGCTAGAAGAAGTGCAAATAGGCTAGTTGACTCCCTTTCTAAACAAGGGGTAAATAGGCAGCAATTGTTTTGGGCATCTTTGTAACATATTGTTGGTTGTTGGGCTGATGTTATGGTGATTGAATTAAACCTGTAATGCTCATAGTTGTCAAGGCGATGCCTAGGTGACAAGGTGCCCTTGGAGGCTTGCCTCGCCTAATCGCCAAGCAGTTTTGTACTTTCTATTATAAAATACATTTTTATTCTTTATTTTTTGAGATTATAATTATAAAATAGGCATTATTACTAAAATGTTCATTTTGTGTGTTTATATACTAATTTCTTTTTATTATTTTCTTATTTGTTGGGGTTTAATTAACACAGACATTGCTAAATATTGTGTTGAATCCTCAAGGACTTCAAAACCTGAACCAATAAGTAAGGTAGAACTTAAAATTTTGTCCAATCAAGAAATTTTCTCCTTCCATATCTTTTTTTTTTTTCGTCCCTTTCTTTTCTTTTCTTCTACCTTTTCTTCCATATATTCCATATGTTCTATTTTTTATTTTTTCCTTCCAATGGATTTTTCAATTTTCTTTTCTTTCTTCTTTTTCTTCTCATGAATATGTTGAGTTTCTTTACTTTAGCATGAAATTTATACTTTTCTTATGAAAATTATGAATAATTATTAAGGAAATATGATTATGGTACCTAGGGAACTACCCTAGGATTTATGTTTATTACTTAAAAAATCCATTGCCTAGGTGACTAGGTGACAAGGTGCCCCCTTGTTGCCTAGCCTCACCTTCACCTTGAAAACTATGGTAATGCATTTTCACATATTTGGGAAGCTAATGGGTTGGCAGATGTGTTAGCCAAGCCGGGAGCTAATAGACCATCCTTATTTTGTGTAGTATTGTAAACTACGTTGTCTTAGACCCCACTAGGGCAGATTCTAGAATTTGGACACCTAACCCCAATGGCATTTTCTCTTGTGCTTCTTTCTTCAAAGTCTTAAGTCAGTCCACCAGTCTTACCCTGTCCCCTTTTCCTATTGGTGAGGTTTGGTGCAGAGCTATACCTCCTAGGGTTGGTAGTTTTTGTTGAGAAGCCTATCTAGAAAGAATCAACA